TCTTCGAGTTATCAACACTTTACAAGCGGGCAGACTGCAGAGCGCTGACAGTGTTTCTTTCCCAAGGGTACCAGTCAGTAAGTGGCAGGGTCAGAGCTTGGAGCAGGATTTCTCCAACCCCTCGCATTTCCATTCAGCCACACACATTTCCAATATTTCTTTGATTGATGAGTATGTGGTGTGTGTTCATGTCAATAATAATAATGATAATAAATATTACCTCGAGATCAGAAGTGTCAAAAAGGCAGTCTTCTCTTTTGGTTGAGAAAGATTTCCCCCACAGGTTTTTTTGTGTGGCTAATGGGTCCCAGGAAGTTGGCTGATAATTGGGATCTGAGTGGGTCGCACAGATCGGTGCAACTTAGGCTCTAGAAAATTTGCATTGCTTTTCAGGATGCCAAACCACCTGCCAAACTTTAAGTAGGATTGCAAGTTAATTCCCTTTCAAAAAGTAAAACAAACAAACAAACAAACAAACAAACATGAGTTACTCCACAGACTGCTAGACAAATGCAATTTCCCTCTGCGGTAGGTTGCTCTTAGACTCTGAGAAATACATGTTTTCATCTAAAGAGTTTTGAAAAGAGTTCCTGCCCAACCTCTGTTTTTCCTATGTTGAAATACGTGATGCATTGCTTTAGTCTTCTGTGCCTCAGTTTACCCCTTTTCAGCAAGTGAGGTCTGCCTCAAGAAAAAAAAGTAAAACAAAAAACAAAAACCTTTGAATCTCATGCTGTCTATTATGGGAAAGATTGTGCCAAAGAGGCATACGAGAAGTAATGACATCGTAGATGAGTGATTTTTTTCCCCTTTGTTAGGAATCTTCTGGGGAGGGGCATTTGCTATGGTAGCACCTGTATACCCTCAGAGTTCAGCAAACTTGTATTTTCTCCCTCATACAATGCGTTGTCCCTTAGCAATAAAAATGAGTCCCCTCTCCCCTAGTTTTGGTCATTCTGGAAGCTAGAGCTCTCCAAGGCCAAATAACGGGTTGTTAAACTGAGAAGGATCCTGCTGGCATGTTTCCCTGGGAGTGGGCGTAATCCCAGATAGCCAGCTGTGCCCTTCGGGTCTCTGGGTGATTGGGGAAGAAGAGGTGGAAATAGGAAGTAGGAGGTGGTCCACTTGATGGCAGCAAAAATGGAGATAGTAGTTTTAAGTTTGGCACTTTTGAGTCTAGGCACCAATGTTAATGCTTGCCAGGAAAATACAGTCTTGTAAAGCAAATTGTAGTGTGGCTGCGAAGTGTGTCTCCTCCTCAAACTGGGGTTCAGGCCTCTGGCTTCTTGCCCTCCACCTGTGAATAGTTTTGGTCCTAGTCTTGCCTTTTCCTGGTTTGAACATTTTCTGTGCTATCTATAGATGGCCATCCTTTTACCTTATACTGTCTGGTGTGAGAATCAGGGTACCTGAGTGTGGGTTTACTGTGAGCTGCCAGATAATAGCCCCATCTCTGCATCATCTCTGTATTCTTCTGGAGGAAGGTGCTCCTTGTGAGGGAGCTGCCTGTCATTGGCAGAGAGCGGGAGAGATAGTGAGGTCACTTTCAGAGAGGACTGTGGAGTCACTGCCATACAAGGAGCATTATTAAATTAGCGATACAGTACGAAGTGGCAGTACTGAATACATAGGAACTTTCTAAGGGTGAGTCGTGTGCATGTGTACAGGAAACGCATCCTTGATTTCACGTAAGATCAAAAGTTCAATGTAACACCTTCCTCACCTAATGGAAGCCAAATGTTCTTCAAAACTGCTGGGTGCCTGCTTTTGCTCTCTGTTCCTATCTGTGCTTCAGTTTGGAGGAGTAAGAAGTGAAGCTAATATTTACAGAGCGCGAACTATGTAACAGGCATGTTGCCATGTGCCTTCCACAAAGAATCATTCTTCAAACAACCCAGTGAGGTTGATGTTTTTAATCCCCATTTTGAAGATAAGAAAGTGAGCCTCAGAAGGGCTCCAATAATTTTCCCAGGGCCACAGGGCTTTTAAGTCACACATTTGAAACTAGATCTTTCTAATTACAGAGTCCTACCAACTTAGAATCTGTTCAGAGAGAAAATTTGCTAACATTCTCATCAGAGGCCTTGGTTCTCGGAACATCCTTCTGTGGGGTGTGCTGTTTTAGACTCCGCATTATTGTCAGGGCAAGAGAGAAAACATTCAGTGTGTCTATAAATATCTGCCATTGGGATGCGTCATAGGAAGCCAAAAAAACTAGTTCACATAATTTCCACTGCATTTTCAAATTTAAAATGGAAAAATGAAAAATGGCTAACTAATTTTACTAAACTTGAGTACAGAATTGGTGCTTTGTCCCCCATTTTCCCGACTGGGGAATCGAGGAATGAAGTAAAAGCCCCACCTGTGCTTGAGAATTCTCCTGGGAGAGGATATTTAGAAGCACAAGTCTAGGCCTTGAAGCCACTTGATGCAACAGGAATGTTTGTAGAAAAATAAACACACACATGGAATGAATCAATGTCTACATAGTGGACCTGGAGTTAATCTCTGATTCATTTGGAGTTTTTTGTTTTTTTTAAAATAAAGTTTGTATTTCTGTATTTCTGAAGGCTCCTCTTAGGGGAGGGGACCTTTATGGCTTTTCCACACTTTCACCTATACTCTTCCATGATAGATGGACTTATGGGAGAAATTTGAAATCCCAGGCTGGCTATAGTGTCTCCAGAGGATTTTGGGTGCTAGTGAACAGAAGAATCAACTTCTTTTTTTAAATGAGATTGAGTCTTGGCGACTTGCTGCAGGGTTTGATCAGCTTGTGCTGCTCACAGGTGTGCTGCGGACAGCTAGCGAGGAACAGAGATAAGTCCAGTCTCCAGCAGCCCCTGCCAACCACCTGGCTTTGAAAGAAGAGAATATTCTTCAGTGCTTTTATGGCCAAACCAATTCTTAGGAAGTAATATTTGAGTTTTCAGGAGTCGGCGCAAGATACACGCTAGGCTTCTCCTATGCAAACCAGTCACAAACCTATTTGTGACTTTCTCAAAATTCCTCTTGTAATGGAGCCTATATGTAGTTCACTTTTTCTTTTTTTAGTAATTGGTACTTGGTTCTTATATTCATCAGGAGGCTTTGTTTATGGTGCACATTTCTTGCCATAATCTTAAAGTGCACGTAAATTCTCTTTTTCCCATTTAGTAGATGAGGCCTCTTAAGTCAGAGGGATTTGCATTTAGGTTACACCACAGTCATCTTTGTCCCTGAATCCACAGCCTCTCATTCATCATGTTGGTTAAAAATAATGCCCCTTCCCTGAAGGCACCAGGTGTCCTGGAAAAGAGATTTGGGGGTGAGACAGCCCTGGGTCTGAATTCAGACTTTCTGCTTACTAATTTGTCTTTAGGCAAGTCGGTATCTAACTTCTCTTAGCCTGGCTTTTCTCATCCTTCCAGTGGAGATCATCATAAAGAACTTTCCTGGCTTGGAGGATTTCAGGCCTTTGTAAGAACTGAGGTAATGCCTGTAAAACACTTTTGCATTGCCATAGGTCCTAGTAAGTGGTATTTTATCATTATCTCGTAGGCCACTGTGTTCTGTACAGATGTTCATTGCTGACAGTGCTGTTACTACTTCAGTGGTTGTTAAAACTGTGGTTACTGTTAACCTGGTTACAGAAAATTTTCCACTTGACACCCTCGTAACCAAGTGGGCCAGAGCCGTCCCTGTGGCCAGTTATGTTCTCTTCCTCTCACGCATCTTTACCAGACCTGCATTAACTTGACTCAGTGGAACTGCCTGGCTCAAGTTCCACTCCAAAGCTTTACTTTTAGGCTTTGCCTTGCCAGGTGCCCACATCCTTGGAATTGCTGTGATCAGGGTGTAGAATTATTTTAATTGCCGAAGTGCTCTCCTCTTTGCCCTGGAATCCTTTTTTTTTAGGAGGAAATCTCTACAACCTGTTTATACAGCTTCCATTCTCCTACCTGCTCTTGCTGAGCTTGCTGCCTTCCACGTTAAACGGGTGGCAAAGGTCTGGGTCGGTGAATCAATTTGGTAACTTCCTGAAGACAATAAGCCTCAAGGCTGAAAAGCCCACTGTCCTGTCCTTTCTTCTTCACCCTCCTGTCCCTTCTGTCCCCAGAAAATGCCTGTGAGACCTTCCCAGTTCTAGAAGACAGTCTGTGAACGTGCTTTGCAACTTCAGACGTCTGTAGGAACTGTGTAACTGGAGTATGCCAGTTGCCAATTGCCGTAGTTGATGTACAGCCAGAGTCAGGCACCTAGAAAAGGGGATCCTGTGTCTTTAAACAGCTGTGTGCCAATATGTGTAAGTGTGCTTGCTAATCCAGTGACTAATTCAGTATATTATAACGCAGCAGTGAGCAGGCTGCCAAGACAGGGCTGTATCCCAACTGAAGTAGTGTATAAGGCTCAGAGAATCATTTCTTGAATTCTGCCTCACCATCCGTCTCTGGAACGGACTAGACATTTCATTTGTCTGTTCCCTGAACCAGCGTCAGCACTCGCCTTCTTCTGGTTCCTGCCTTTCTCTCTGCCGGCCCCCTCTTGCCTCCCTCCATTGCTTGGGTCAGTGTATTTACTCATCTGAGGGTGGGGCTCTGCTCAATCTGAGTCAGGGCCAGGGAGCCAATCAAGACTGCTGTGGGGCATTCCAGGGGACGAAACTCATGATCCCTTTTGGAAAAGAATTTTCCAAAAGATCCCTTTTGGTCACAGAGTTGTGACTGCACCTTTCTCGGTTCATGTCCAGTGAGCCTGGCCCCGTGCTTGTCTTCCTGAAGCCCCTGTTCTATCTGAGTGAGCCCCAGGGGTTGGGAGGGAGACATCCACAAAGAACCAGGTCTGGTGGAGCTTTCTTCCCACTGAAAGTCTTGTACGCAGAAATATGAAAATGCAAATATCACTCACTTTAAATGAGTGCTTCTGTGGCCTCTTCTGGGGACATCCGCAGGTTAGGGAAATTGGTGGTGTGTTGCTTGTCTCCTGGAGCCTGTGACTGTCCCTTCTCCTCACATATGCAGCCCCAGAAGACGTGGATGCCAGGTGTCTGTCTCTGGAAATGGGCGTCGCCCAGCCTCTCCCACCATCCCTCGGTGAGTGGAGCCCTGCAAGACTTCCACGCGGCCGAGGTCTGGAGCTGTCGTGACTCCGTGGCCCCTGTGCTCAGGGCTCCAGCAGGCTTCTCCCTGTCCCTTTCCCCGATGCTTCTGGAACCCAGCCACAGCTCTCAGTGTCCATTGCAAAACCTCTGTCTTAGTCATCACCATGCTCATCTCAAACCAGGAGTCTGTAGCTATTGTTTGTGTTCTTACATGGGGTTTGCTTCCCCTGCTGGAAGGGAAATTCCAAGTGGAGGGTCCACGACTCCCAGTCACCAAGGTATTCCCATTGCTCAGCCCGTAGAAATCACGATTTTAAAGTACAGTTTGGTGGATTTTAGTATGTTCGCAGTTGTGCAATTCATCACTGATCTCTAAGTCCAGGGCATGTCCCTCACTCCCAGAAGAAACCCCATACTCATGAGCAGTCGGCAGCTCTTTTTGGGTAAAGAAATGCTGGTAAGGCCGTCCTGCAGGGGATGTGAGGAGGTGGGCCCCTTTGCTGATGGAGACCCACCATTCCCCTCTGATGCTCCGAGCACATTCCTGGGGGGTTCCTTGCATCTCTGTAATCTTTGAAGTCCTTTTCAACCCTTGCTGCCTTGCCAACTTTATTCCCGTGGCTCACGTGGTCAGGCTCCACTGTGGAGTGAGCCTCTGTACGTCTGGGCAGAGATAATGAGTGCTTTCACCAGCTGTATGCAGAGCGTTCAGTGCGGGAGCTTGGGGCTGTGGTGGCTGCAGCTTCCTAATGGCTTCCTGATGAGGCAGAGCCATTCATTAGCAGCGGATGAGGGCTGTGCACCCGCTCTCCCCTGCCCACCTGATGCAGGCAGATGGAGAGCGGCTTCTGCTCCCTCCCTCTTCCGCATTGATCACTCTCCCTCTGCTCTCTACCCATTGGCCTAGCATGCCCATTGATCTGGAGACTGGGTCTGCCTGGCGACTCCTCAGCCTCTTGGGTTTGCCGCCGGGAGAGGCATCCGATGTTGTCTGCACTGGGTGAGACTCTGGGGCAGCAGTGGGATTGTCAAAATGCCCACGTCTGGATGTTTGGGGCCATTAGGAGAGACCCATTCTGAGAGGAGAGGAAACAAATAAACCTGTGGAGGCTAAAAGAGATCATAATTAGGTGTTATTTTCCTTGAATCCATAGTTCCTGCACTGCAAATACATTTGCTGTTGGAACTGAAGCTGCTGGTATTGTTTGACGAGGCGGCCTTTTTGTATTAGACACATGACATCAGGTTCACCTTACAGGCCAACACCCTTGATTCTGCATTTGGCTTCATCAGTAGGGTTTGCTGTGTCCCCTCAATCCTATGCCTGTGTCCCCGTTATCCTGGTTGAAATGCCAGCAGGACTGGAATGGTAGTGTTGTAGAACCTTTGACTTGATGTAGCACTTTAGAACACATGGTGATCTGTTCCCCATTCAAAGCATTTTAAAAGTCAATAGATCGCTGAAATGAACTGCCGCCTTCTCTGTCTGGATCGACAGGAAGAGCATCTTCAGATTTTAGAGCTGTTGTTCATAGTGCCAATGTGCAACTGAAGCTGGGTATTGAAGACTGCTTGCTTTATAATGCCTGCTGTTCAGCTGGCATTTCTTCTTGAAGGAAACTCTTCTGCGGTAGAACCTGATCATCGCTATTGAAAACTTGTAACCTGGAGTGAGAGCAGATGGCATCCTGGTTCTGTAAACTCCCGACTCATGTGTGCCAGGTCTTTGGTTGGGTTAGACCTCTGTGGGTCTTACGAACTTGGGGAGGACTGCTGTTTGTCTAGAATGATGTACCAGGGCTTGTTAGTAGCAAAGATGCGAGGGAGATGGTGCCCCTCCTACTGTCCTGCTGTACATCAACAGCAATGGTGTTGGGGGAAAAATACTGGAGAAGGAGTCAGGAGGTCTAGAATTAGTAACCATGTGACCAAGGGCAAGTTGATGTCACCTCTGTGGGTTTCATTTTCCCCGTCAGTAAAAGAAAGGGCTTGAAACTAGATGACGTCTAAAGTTCCTTCAAGTTCTGTGTTCCGGGAATGGTGTGGGACCCCTGACCAGGAACAGCACGGCCACTCCTCTCTACTCACAGTGCACTTAGCATTCATTCATCTTGTAATTACGTCGAGTTGTCAGGAAGGAGAACATGCCTCCCAGGAGTTATTAAAGTTTGATAGCAAATTCTGTAAATTCCTTGTTCCTGCTTTTTGGCCCCGGTGAAGGCTTTGTGTGTCATATAGCCATAGAGAAGGCAGCACGGGGGAGTAGACAGGGTAATGTGTGAGCACACAAGCAGGCGGTTTGGGATGGTGGCTACTGGCCATGGCTGTAAAAAAGACCAAAGCTGAGGAGGCATAGGGGCCAAAATGATAGATGAGGAAGGTCTAAATAAACCCTGGAGTAGCCTCCGGTGATAGGCGCAGCAGTGAACCTGATGGGTTAGGGAGAGTAGAATCCTTTTAAAGCTCTCTCTCTGAGTCCTAAGTACTTCCTGAGCAGCTCAGCAAATTTGAGCTGGTCCTCTGAAATCATTACCTAAATCCCTCAAAGCAACAGGATTTCTGAGTCCTCATTAGGGATGTACATTTGGATTTACTGAACTGAGTGGGGCCTTTATTTCATGACTTGTTGGACATATAAAGCCTGATACTGTAAACTCCAGATGTTCCATGTTAGGATAGTGCCCTCGGTTTCTGGTGTATTTAGCTGGTATGCAGGCATTTTTGAACACTGATATAGGTCCACAGAAGGGCTGTCTCATGCACTTGCCAAATGCACAATGGGTGGGAATTCTTGCATCTTCTCTGAAGTCAGCCTCCCTTTAAGGTGAGACTGTGATGTGTGTCTCTGCCTTCTCCCGCACCCTGCCATGTGGCTCCCACATGACTCTTGTGAATTACACTGGGACGACTCAGCAGGGCCCTTGGAGAAGATGGGGATGTGCAGCCTTGGGAGCAGGGAGTGGAGCACAGGTCCAGGAAGCAGTGTTGGAAGGCCGTGTCCCATGTCCCCTTTCGTCTCCACGGTCTGGTATATTTTAGATCGTCAGATATTTCCTTTGGGTTTCTGTCTTCACCATCTGCTTAGAAAGAAAGATGTGCAGGAGTGTTTGCTTGTGGTGGCCTTGTACATAGTATCTCGGTTTTCCTGTAATTCAAGTTTATTAGACCATCCTCAGATGGTCTGAAGCCTGAGCGTCATGACTCATGCATGCTGCAGTCAGCAAAGGGAGAGCGGCAGTGGGGAAGGAACACAGCGCGTCACTTTTAACCACGTATTGGTTACATTGGCCCCAGCCATGCCCAGCACTTGCCCGCTCTGTGCTTAAGCTTTTACCTTATAAAACATTTATATACTTGCCTCTTGTCCCCTCCAAGTCTGGTGACATTATCTGGGACATTCTCAGCGAAACATCCTAAACGATTTAAGTGAAAAGGAGGAAAATGATATTACTGAGGTTCCTTGTCTATTTAGTGTTAGTTTTCCAGGTGTGAGGAGGGCAGGGATGGTAGGCATTTGCAGGCCACTCAGGAAAGCTGAAGTTACTCCTCAGGGGGGTCTGTGCATTAAGTCCTGCATTTCTGGCCTTTGGGATATTTCAGGTTCACACCTGGGGTTGTTAAGGCTGTAAGGTTGGACTGGATCCAGGGGTGCAGTTGGCGACTCTTTCAGTTGCCTGTTAACCATGAGGGCTGGCGGGGGAACTCACAGTGAAGGTGTGCAGCAGGGTGACCGTCTGCAGGACTCACTCCTCTGTCCCCACGCCTTCCTCCCTGGCCCACGCTCTGCTCATTTTCAGTCTGATGTCGATCACAGACTTGTGTGACCACTGCTGGCCCTCTTTAGTAAGCCTCTAGGAGGATTAAGAATATAACACAGTTGGCAAGGATTAAAATCGACTGTCACTTCAAAGTTGTGTTGGAGCAAAAGTGACATTTCCAGAAAATAGAGAAACTGTCCAAGGGGCGGAACTGAACAAGGACAGGCAGATTGTCACTGAGACATGAGGCACACTTACCTATGAATTTCAGCTCTTAGCCTCTTTATGTTAGTTCCAAAGAAGTGAGGAGGGAACTTTCCCATAGCAAATTCTTTTACAGGACCCCTAAACATATGTCATTAACAGACTTGCTAAGACTGTTGTTCCAGGGATGATAGTGTTGACCTCCGTCTGCTGGTTCACCTTCTGTTGGCATCCCACCTTTGTCCTCTGTACAGAAATGCCTAACTGCTGGGACTGGGTTGAACAGCAGTTATATTTCTGGCCTACCCCTACTCAGCAGTGGCTGTATTTTATTTTATTTTATTATTTTTTAACTGAGGTATAGTTGATCTATGATCCTATATTAGTTTGAAGTATACAGCACAGTGGTTCAGCACTTACCCACATTATTAATGCCTCACCTGCACTAGTGCATTTACTATGTGTCCACATAGGAAGATGTTACAAAATCAATGACTGTATTCTCCATGTTCTCCATGCTGTGCTGCCATCTCCATGACAAAATTATATTATGATTGAGAGTTTTTGTGAGCAGTGGCTGTGTTTTAGCTGTGGGCAAGCAAACTTCTTCACTTGATCCTTTAGGCTAAGAAGAAACTATGCCAAAAAAAAGGAGCCTGTTCCAAGCAGGCAGCAATGTTGGTGACCTCATCTTCCTCCCAATTCTGGGTGCAGTTGGAGCTGTGCATGCAGGGCAGACTTCCAGTTCCTCCTGTCTGGGACTAACAGTGGCAGATATAAATAGACCAAGACTTTGTCTGTAGCCATTGTTCTCTAACTGCCCATTGTTTCTGGAAGCAGAGTGGCTGTGGTATGCTCAGTCTCATTCTCTCTCCCTCCCTCTCTGAATCTCTTTCTCTGTCTTTCTCTCATGGTGCAGAGACCCACATTCCAGCTCCACCGCTTCTCTTGGCTGCCTATATACTTGTGTGAAGCTTAGTGAGAAACTGGAAGGAAGAACCACCTCCACGTCAGATCGATCATCTGAGTA